GCGCGCTCGCCGGGCGCACAAAGGAGCGCGGCTAGGGCGGGTGGCTCCCCGGGGACCCTGCGCCCGCTCCGAGCTGGGTAGAGGGAGGGAAGCGCCCCGGAGCTGCACGCTGGATGGAGGCTCGGAGCGGCGGGGCGGGCACCGCAGGGCTGGAGCGCCAGCGCAACGGGCTAGGGGCGCGGGGTGCAGGCTGCGCCACCCTGGGACGGCGGCTAGGGGAGAAAAAGATTACAATTGGGAGGGAGGGGGTCCTAGGATTGCACCGACCCCCCAAGGTGGCTGGAGAGTGAAAAGAAGGTGCCCCGACTGCAGCCCCGCCGACCAGGGCCTGCTGAAAATGGGTGAAGGGCTTGGGAAGGTTTCCAGGAGGCGGTGGGCGGTGGCAGAGACCTGAGCGTTTCCTGCGTGTAATTAAAAAAAGGGCGTGCCCGGGGATAAAGGACACTTGTGGAAGCAGTGGGGGGATTGTCAGTTTTGCAGGATGTGAGGGGCGTCCTCCGAACGCTGGGCAGCGGATGCCCGATTGGGGGCGCCCCAGGGTAGCGGAGGGACGGCATTCAAGGCAAAGAGAATTCCTCCGTGGAGTCTGATGCAGGGAAGGGTTTCCTGGCCTGGTCGGAAGGGAAGGGCGGGGGTCTCCCCACTGCAGCCCCAGCACTGACTATCCCGGGAGGGAGGGGCGGCCCTGGCGGTCCCGCGGCCTGGAATGAATTGGCGGGTGCTGTCGCTGCTGCTCAGATTAGGGCTGTGTTTTGCAGACATCGAACCAGCCCGACTGCAAGCCTCGCTGCATGGAAAACCGCGAGGCGGGTGTGAGAACGCGATCAAACGCGAGTGGGGTCGGGCCGCGAGGTAGACGGCTGCTGGAGCAAGCGGGGAAAAGGGGCGCTGGGCCTGCCAGGGAACAGAGTAGGCGTCCCGCCAAAGTTGTTACCTTCACACCGGGCCGGGGACCCCTTTGCACCGCTGGGGCACGGTGTTTCCCATCAGCTGGAACCTCGAAAGAATCCCCGGGGATAAGCCGACAGGGCAGGAGCACCGCTGCCGGGAGTGCTCACTGTGCCCCAGGCCCAGTCTAGGAACCTTCTGCACATCCCTGTTTTCAAAATCCCCCACGAGGGCTCCGCCCGTTTTACAGGTTTCTCCTAATTCGCTCAGGTAGGCTGAAGGGGCCTTGGACCCAGGATCAGCTGGCTGGGGCTCAGGTGTTGGCGGGAGGCTACCCCTTGGCCGGCCGCAGGAGAGGAGGGGTCGCGTGCCCTGGCTTCTACCACAGGCCCCCGGGCCAGGCCTCCAGCGTCCTGGTGGCCGAGAAACCCACAGGGCTGATCCCATGGTACACCTTCTCCGCCATGTGGCTCGGGTCGCGGCACCACCGGAGCCATTTCCCGGACACTTCAACCCCTTCCTGCAGCAGGTGAGGAGAAACTTGAGAAATCCGCGCGCGCCCACAGGCCCTGGCTCTCCTGGCTGGCCAGCGATGCAGGGGACTCGCGTGGGATCTGACTCCACCTGTCAGGAAAGACTCTGCGGGCCTCAGGGTAGGAGTGACTGTGTCTCCCTCTCAGGCCCAGGTTTTTTACAAAACCCACCACGGCCACACCCATGCACTGAGGCCAGAATCCCAAATGGGTAGCAACCGGGGTGGGGCCACCCTGGATTCTCTGCCACCCCCTCCTTCTCTCATTCTCTCAAAAAGAAAAAACAGTTGCCATGGAGTCCCTTCAGAGTCATGGCGACCGCGTGTGTGTCAGAGTAGAACTGTGCTCCACAGGGTTTTCAGTGGATGAGTTTTCAGAAGTAGATCAGCCAGCCTTTCTTCCACCATGCCTCTGGGTAGAATCGAACCTCCAACCTTTGGATTAGCAGCTGAGACCATTAACTGTTAACTATTTGCACCACTGAGGGACTCCCTTCTCTCTCAAGCTAGAGAGAGATGCATGGGTGGATGGATGGGTGGATAGAGAGATAGATGGATAGATACATAGATAGATTAAAAAAAAAAACATTGCCATAGATTCGATTCCAACTCAGACCAACCCTATAGGACAGAGTAGAACTGTGCCATAGGGTTTCCAAGAAGTGGCTGGTGGATTCAAACTGCCAACCTTTTGGTTAGCAGCCAAGCGCCTAACCACTGTGCCACCAGGGCTCCAATAGATAGATATAGATGGATGCCATTGAGTCGACTAAGACAGGCTAGGAAGAATTTACTTCCGAAAAATCAGCCACTGAAAGTGGTCCGATCCGAAAATGATCATGGGGATGGCATAGGCAGCATTTCACTCTCTAGTATGTGGGGCCAACTCAGTGGTAGCGAGCAGTAACAAGTTTAGACTGAAGATGGTGTTGCTGACAGCGTCCCTGTGACATCCCCTCGCCTAGATTTAACACTACTGCAAAAGGCTCGTTTACCGGAAAGCTTTACACCTTCTTGAAAAATACATAATGTACAGACAAAAGCACAGGTCCAGTTAGCAGTGGTTTCTGGTGTTATTTTTGTCTTTTTGTTCCCCAGCACCTGACCCACACTGGGCTCTCGGTAAATGCTGAAGGAATGACGGGATCATACCTATTTTTGTTTCTTTGTTTATACTCATATGAACAAACCGAGTAAGTACTGGCGTAGAACTCAGAGTCTTGTTCAGGCGTTACGTGTATAAACAGAACTTCGAGCAAGTGGAGGGTTTTTCTGTGTTTACTTTCCCTGTATTCTCCTCGTGAACCACTCAGCAATTCCCAATTTTCCCAAAATATTTCTAAGATCCATTTTGCTCTGACCGTGAGGCTCTTGACCTCGGGGGAGAGAGATGCGAGTGGTGAGTAAGAAAACAGGTGAGCACAGGGCTCTGGTGGGTGACCTTCCCTGGACCCCAGTTTCCTTACCTATAAATGAACGGGAGTGACCACAAAGTTTGTCTTTTTTTTTTTTTTTTTGTTCCCGGCTCCAAGATTTGGGATATAAGAAAAGATGATTGTAAAAATGCTGTCCATTTCAGCCCCGTGTTTGGATTGCAGGTCAGAGCATTGCAGCTTCGGGTGATGGATGGGTAGAAAGTCAGCAGACATTGATTTTAAGCTTGAATAATCATCTCTTAGTGCTTGTAGCTCTCAAGTGCTTCGCCTCCCCGTGTTTCCCAACATCCCTGGCTATTTCCAAATGTTCAAACCTGCCCAACCCTAAAATTAAGAACATTAGAGAGGAAAAATATTTCAGACACGAAATTGTGCCCTGTATAGCTGGAAGGAAGGGCTGCTAAGTGCTCCTGGCGCAGTGGCTAAGTGCTTGGCTGCTAACCAAAAGGTCAGCAGTTCGAGTCCACCAGCCGCTCCATGGGAGAAAGATGTGGCAGTCTGCTTCTGTAAAGATTACAGCCTTGGAAACCCTGTGGGGCAGTTCTGCTCTGCCCTACAGGGTCGTCTTGAGTTGGAATCAGCTTGACCGCTTACAACAACCACATAGCTGGAAGGAACTTGGAAAGGATAGCCAGTGACCCAGAAGTTTCCACCAGCAGAGGGCTAAGGAGGAAGAAGGAGAAGGAGCCCAGCAGCCCCCCAACAGGGGCGAGGGGAAGTACGTATGCAGTCCTAAAGAACGAATCCAATGTTCTTTTTTTAGGGGTGGGGGGAGGGAGGTTAAATTCAGAAGATAAAGCTCCACGAAGTCTGGTCTGCAGGAAAACGCAGCTAAAAATCAGTTTAGGATCAAGAGATTTTCAGCGGCTGAGTAATCCTGTAGTTCCACACGTCCATATTCTAGCTGGGGAAACTGAGGCCAGCCAGGAGCAGAGTGCATTGTTGCCAGGCACTTTGTGGAGAAGTAAAATCTGGCCCTTGGCTCCTGACCTTTTCCTACTATTCCCAGCCAAGCAGAGGAGCTTTGCAGACCAAGCCGGACTGCCCTCCACCACGCCTAGTATGGATTGAGTTGTGTCCCCCCAAAAGATACCAGTACCTGTGAACATGACCTTGTTTGGAAATAGGGTCTTTGAAGATGTTATCAATTAACATGAGGTCATACTGGAGTAGGCTGGGTCCTAATCCTGTATGTTGTTGTGTGCCATCCAGTCGGCCCCGACTCGTGGCAGCTCCATGCACAACAGAACAAAGTGCTGCCCGGTCCTGCGCCATCCACATGACCGGCTGCAGATGGGACTGTTGTGATCCATAGGGTTTCCATGGGCTTATTTTCAGAAGTAGATTTCCAGGTCTTTCTTCCTAGTCTGTCTTAATCCGGAAGCGCCCCTGAAGCCTGTTTACCATCATAGCAACGTACAAGACTCAGCTGACACACGGGTGGTGGCTGTGCTTGAGGAGCACTGGCCAGGCATGGAACAGGTCTCCTGCATGGAAGGCGAGAGTTCTACCATCGAACCTCCACTGTCCCTTCTCCTGTGTGACTGGTGGCCTCATTAAAGGGAAGAGACACAGAGGGAAGGCAGCCAGGAGAGACTGGAGTGAT